TAGGGAAAGTAGTAATAATTAAAAAGATAAAAAATAATAAAAGTAGACTATTGGGCAAAATTTCACCCTTCCAATATTCAAATTCATTGAAGTAGGTTGAGAGCAAAGAAAAGGAAGTATTTCTTTATGTTACATATAGGTAAGCTGTGCAGCTCCTTGCTGAAGGATGTTGGGGGTGAAAAAAGGTTATGCCAGTTCAAGCATTGCTTAAACAAGCTCAAAGACTGAATTTATGTAGATAGCAAATTTGATTCAAGAAATTCTTGACACAAAAAAATCACTGGAGACAATGGTTGCATTAGAACTATGTATATGTCTGTCCTTTTTATGCTTTTTCACCTAGTCACTTGCTGTTGACCAGCGTTGAAATTTATCCTGAACAGATAGAATTTTGCCCCAGTCCCATTATGTCTGCCCTGTTGTTCTAAAATAATTAGAGGAATGTTCATAATATGTATTTTTAAGAGTCAATGTAGGAAATAGCTACTTTTTCTATAGCTTTAATAAATTTCTCTTGCAATATTTCAACTCCATCATCACAGCTGGTAATAAAAAAATACTGATTTCTGCAAAGTTTTGTTTAGAATTGAAGTTAACAAGGCTGAATTTATACTTCTATTTCATGTGATGCTGTATTTATAATTTATTAAACAGAGTTTCTCACAAGAGAGACTTGCATTGTTCTTGAGATTTGATCTCTTTCAGTTTTCTTGGTTTCTGCAATAAGTATGTTTAAAATATTACTGGAAGGTTTTTTTCATATTACTCACATACTTCACAATGCAGATTAAAAACCCCACAAGGGCTGTGCTAGCCAACAAATAATGTTCTCAGCCATGGGTCATCATTTTGCTCTTAAAGACTAAACTTCTTTTTCCTTGAACTATATATCACATTTCCTTGAACTACTATATCACATTTAGTATTGCATAAAGGAAAGCTACTTTTAGAGTTTCTCCTTATCATATTTCATAACAGTAAATTAAAGGCAGGAAAGTAAAACTGAGCAAATAGACGATATAGGCACTAATACCTGTATGGAAAAAAAATACTGCCATATTCATAGTACATTACTGGTGTTCTAATGTTTGCTCTTTTTCATAAGTATAAATTCAGAGTAAATCTAGAGTATATGTTTATATAGGAAGGAAACACAATGAAAATTCTGTAAAAATAGGAACAAGATTGGATGTAGTAATGAATGACAAAGTACAGCACTGTTTTTGCTTTTCTAATAATGATTGTTGTTCTGTTTTTATGTTAACAATCTACAAATTTTAGCTTTTTTGCATTGCATTCAACAACATGCAGCCTGACTCACTGCCACAAGCTATGTTGAGGCTAAGAACTTGATGCGCTTTTAAACAGATTTTTTTAGTAGATAAATAGGATGTTCATTATTTGTTTTAGAAGGATTAAAAGTAACGATATTTTCAAATTGTTTGAAACCATAAATAATGAGTAAGGAAGAAATGCCTACAGTAGAGAGGGATATTTCCTGCCCGTTATGGGATTGCTTTTTTTCTTTAACATTGAAAGGTTGAGAAAAAATTCTGG